GCAACTATTCTAGTCACTGATTATCTTTAATAAACACATGAAGAATTAATGAGTTAGAATTTATTGAAGAATCAATATACACGTATGTGACATTCTACAACTTAACACTTCCTTGTTCACGTAACATAGACTAGTTAATATGAAAAAACACATTCTATTTCTTATTTCTGCATAGAATTTAATTTGAGAATTATGTTCTTAATTTGAAAATTATGTTTAATGTCTGCTGATATAGCTATACTGTTAAATGTTAAAAAGGTATTTCTGTTATTTTAACTTAAGCGCCAAGAACTTGTGTTTTTGTCCGACTTTTCCTTTAGCTATTTAAAGCCATTTCTCTAGTCTACATTTGATCGCGTTCTTACCGATTTTTTTAGAGAAAAAGGAATGATGATGATGACGATGATGATGATGAAGACCTAAGAATCATTGGAATGGAAGGATTTATTCCATTACGAACATTGTAATGGGGCAGAAACCATTGAAAATAGTATTTTGAGAAGATTTTAAAAGAAAAACTTTGTAATACAGACTTTGGGGGTAGGAGAAACAGCTAAAAGTAATTACTTTATATCAAATATTTTTAATAATGATTTCACTTAAAGTGTTCTCATTCTTATGAAAGAAGTTCCGTATTATTAGCTAACAATTTCATATTTTTGTACAGATTGAAAAAGCGGTATATGAATTCTTTTATTTAAATGAAAAGTACATATTTATTAATTTTATCATACTCAAGTCACAAATATACATTTATATAATATATTTATTTGAATGATTAGGTGCTTTCATGACATGTTGCGTTAATTGTACTTTCTTTTAACATTAGTAATAAGATGAAAAGATAATATTGGTGCAAAGAATATTGACTCATTGTCTCTGTACTCAGAGCTTGTTGGCGTGATAGTGTGGTGTATTTTAGTATGAATGCAGTTTACAAAAATCAGATGATATATAGTCTGTGAACAAGAAATTTCTAGGATATGTACATATTATGATTTCTTTGAAAGTAGAATACTTATAGCGAAAGGCTTGACACAGGCATAATGTACAGAAACATGTTATTGAAATTGCCAAACTTCTTACAAATATTGTAACCGAACATTAAACATAATTTTCAGTATTCAATGTACCTGTAAGCTTCATAGTAACATCAGAACTTATTAACAGGTTGAGGGAGTAGATATTGTCCCTTGCAGTTTTTTTCCATTATTTTACTTCACACTTCCTACATTCCATATAGTTGTACTTACAAAAAGTTTAGTTTAGATTTATTGTTTACTGAATGTTATTGCATGAGAAACCAAATCACTTTCCAGCCATTATGTTCTGTATTAAGAATGTTATTTAAAATTTGCCGCTTGCACACTACTTACACTACTAGTAATGGGTCATATGTAGAGAAGAAAATAATTTTGTTTCA